TCTTGTTGCTTCTTCCACCTTTTGAACAATGAAATTGTCATTGAGGCGAGGAATTTGCTAGATCTTGAGGATTTTGCTGAGTCTGAATTCCAGCAAATATCAGGATAATTGAAGTCACCCATCACTACTATATTTCTCCTTTCTGAGTGTGTGGTCACTGAGTGGTGGTTTTGCTCATTCCTTCTTCTGATATATAACCTACAGCACCCGGCATTCGTTGGCAGTCTTCTGTCCAATTACTAGCCAGGGCTGACCCTGTTTACTGTCCAATATCATACAGGATCTGGTGCCTTTAGGGTATCAATACACAGGATTTATTCAGTTATTTACTTTTATTAGGTTCATTTCTATCCCATGTTTCCTCCAATGAGTTCTAGATGGTGTATGGCTCTGCTCCCCATTTTATCTTTACAACCGTCCAGTGAAGAGAATCAGGCTGAAAGAGCAGCCTGAATCCTATTCTTAACCCTAACTAGAGTAGACTCATTGAATCAATTGTTGAATGGTATGATGTAGTGTTCAGTTGCAGAATTGCTAGTAAGCTATAGGTGACTAGCTTTCAAGAACAACCAGCATCTGTATAGCTGTAACTGATAATAACATTGTGGGCTTATTTTCTCTAACCAGTCTGTGGCTGGATATTCACTTTGTTGTGCCTCCACTGACTCATTTTCAGTTGGCCCTCTAATATTATTTATAGCCCAAACAAAATATCACTCAAGGAAACTCTATCACAGGAACTTAAAGAAAAGGACTACTAACACACTGGTCTGTTAAATTCCACTGTGGTTTGTTATTTGTGTGGCTGAATAAAGACTGGTTATGCACTTAAAGCAAAGGAGCACTACTTTGTTTTGTGACAGGCAGAGCACAACTTCAAGAACATCTCAGGACTCACTTCTGTTACTTTCTTTTCTACAAAGTAGCAGTTCTCTCTATTCACATTTCCTACTTGAATTTGTATATACTTTGTCCTGCAATTGGATCTTAAGTGCTGTACTTTACAGAGTGCTGATCCGAGGTAAATAGTAAAACTAATAATGCTGAATGCAGTTCTTTGCCTGGGAGAAAAAAAAACAAAAACAAAAACAAACTTGGAAACTAGATCACCTAAAAGTTTCAGAAGTGCATCTGTTACTTCACATTCACAAGTAGGCAGTGGGAGGAGAGGGAAGCTGGTGCCCATCTTGGCTGACAGCAAATGCTCCTTGGCATCTGATTTCCAAGCAGGTGCAAGGTGCACTTGCCCATACTACCGTTAGGCAATATGTGGATTCTGTTTATTTCTTTCAAAAATATTGCTAGATTGCCAATCATTAAAAGGCTATATAGTGACTTAGAAAGCTGATAGCTACAATAAACAGCATCATGTGATAAAAGGAGACTGAGGGGGGATGCAGACCAGGGCATCCAGGACGCCCTGGTCCGGAGCACCGCGGGGCCATGGCAGCCGCACCGCAGCGCTCCTGCGGCGTCCCTGGAAGGAGCGCTAAATCAGCGCTCCTTCCTCAAGACAGTGAAAGTGCGCCCTAAACACGTAGGGCGCACTTTTGCTGTCTTTTCCGCCGCAGCGCATGTGGTCGCTGTGGCGGGAGGTTGCCTTGGAAGCGCCGGCCGTGCGGAGGGCCGGCAGCTTCCAGGGCGACCTCAGGAAGAGGAAGGGACGCGTGCAGCTGCCCCTCCTCTTCCGGGTCTTGGAGACGGCACTATTAGCCGTCTGCCGAGGCCCTAAGGGGGGATGCAGACCGGCCTAAAGGGCCAGCCTGGGGTTGGAGTTGGGGCGGGGCAACCACACGCCGGCTGGCCTGACTCCACCCTGACTGTGCCCTGGTGCAGCACACCCAGCTCCTGCTGCCTTATGCCCAGCTGCAGCCATTGTAACTGTAGATTCAGTGTAATTTGATGTTGTTTGGTGTTGCTCTTTCTTGTTAATTGTCATCTTTTTGTTACTTCTAAATGTTTCTGTGTGTCTTAATGTATCTCTTTTTTTTAGTTTTAATTTATAACTGGTTTTCAGTGCTATCGCAGTCAGTCCGTTACAGAGTCTGAAGATTTAGAAGAGAAATTTCCTCCTACCTGCTTTTGCTAGGTTGTCTTGAGAGGTTTCTCCTAGTAGTATTTTCCCTGCCAATATCTGAGTACAGTGATTCTTCTGTAATTTGAAGTTATTTGTTGGGAATTGTAAATTTGTTAGTTTTAGAATGAAAGACTGGTGTTGGTGCTATGTGGCCACTTTAGCTGGCTGCTGCCATGCCACTGGGGTAGCCTCATGGTTTCCTAAGCTTCTTCCAACCTATCCACCACTTTTGCTCCAGTCTTGAAGCCTTTTGGAACCTCTGTGGGTTTCCTCTCTGCTTCCCCTTTACCAAGAGGAAAGTCACTGCTTTGGGGTTCAAACTATTATACCCATTTTATTATTATTATTATTAGGTAAATTTGTTGGTTATTGTTTGCAGCTATGCCGCACAGAGCGAGTGTTTTTTCAGGAGCTCTGATACAATGCTCCTCACCCCTTTCACGCCAGCCCTGAAAGTCAATCATAGGGTTTTTTTTAATGATTAAAGACATTCAAAAAGAGTTTACTGGATCTTCTTCTGTGCAATACTAACAAATCTTAGCTGTGGTGTCACTGCCATTGTTTCTGAGAGATTATCTGCCAATGTCACCCCTCCATTACTACTGCTGCACAGTAGCTGTTTGGCACATTTAGTCTGGCTCCTCAGCAAAAGCCATCTGACATGGGAGAAACTAGCAACAGCACTGCTGTTCTTAGAATAGCCTCTTTCCTCACAGTAGCCCACAATCCTACCACTGTGGTAGTGTCATGATGAGGGTATATGTTTATACAATGCTAAAAATATATAGGCTCCTGATCTCAGTTTACACAGAGCACATTTGGGTATCCCATTGTGGGACACTATTGTGTCCTAGAACCAGAGCTTGGGGAAGTTACTTTTTGGACTACAAATTCTGGAATTTTCTAGCATGGTTGAAGTGTTCTGGGAATTCTAGTTCAAAAAAAGGTTTCTCAAATTCTAACTAGATTCCATCATGCATTGTCCTATGACTACACTTTTCAGAGGAAGAACAACAGTGGTGGGAAGGATCCCCCCAGCAAAGTTTACCTACCATAACTAAACTCATTGCAGAACATCAGGTAAACTTCTAGAGAACCCAAAGTTTGTGGAAAGCAATCTGATAACTATTTTTATATCACATTTGATAATCAACCACATTTGATGACTGGCATGCTGTAATTTAATTTAATTTAATAGTATGAAAATAATTTATTTGTCAGTGTTTGATAGCTCACATGGAATGATATCTCACCATATTTGTACTCTACTCTTGGCAGGTCAGTACCTGCACAGAACAAACAGACAGTGCAGAAGACAGCCAGAGATTGAGTCAAAGTCAACCTGGGATTGAGCATAGAAAGTGATGAGGCAATAGCATTTAAAGGGAACAGACAGAAAGATGGGTCAAAAAGCAAGCTCAGGCCAGATTGTTGCAGAGAACAGTCCAACCAATTTCTGAAGCATTAAGGAGGGCCCCCGAAAGGAATCCAAGAAGTGTGCCAACAGCATGAAGCCAAGAGTTTGAGTTGGGAATGCCTAGCAGTTGGAAATAGGGAGTAGGAGCCCTCTAAGACCTCATTCTCACTACATAATAAAACAGTTTGCAAGTGGATCTGAACTGGTTTAAATGGCCCTTGTTCACACTTTTACCAATTCTCTGATGCGGTTTGTGAAGGGGCCCCTAGGGCTAAACCCATTCAAAGCACTTCTTCCAGATCCCCTGAATTCCCCACATATTTTGCAATGAATTGATTTAGCGCTAGTGTGAATGAGCTGCGGATCTGAATCGGTTCCCTCTGGCACAGACAGCCCTGTGACACAACTCTATGCTGAATCGATTCATTGATGAATGTGAACATGAAGTGGATTAAATTAGGATCGATCGCTGCTCGAACAGTGTGAACATTTATTCGGTGCTAAATCGCTTCATCTATTCGACTCAAAAACCAGTTTATTCTGTAATGGGAATGAGGCCTAAGGCACATATTGAATGCACTGATCCCATATCTCTTGCAAAAGGGCATTATTCTACTTGTCTGAGGGAGAGCCAGACACTCATTAGACCTCTTCTTGTTGAGTCAAGCTCTCTTGCAGACTTGCACTTCTCTGCTGTTGGTTTATCTCAAGTGGTTGCTTTTTACAGTGGGAAGGCTCAGCATTAGAATCCACTACTTGATCCTGAAGTGAAGATAGCAATAGCAATAGCAAATGTATTTTTATATCGCATATCAGTGCACTTAAGCACTCCCTAAGCAGTTTACAATATGTAAGCTATTTATTTATTTATTTATTTATTTGGAGTATTTATACCCCGCTCTTCAGCCAAAAGCCTCTCGGAGCGGCTTATAAATGGTTAATTAGACATTTCCCTGCCATCAGGCTTACAATCTAAAAAGACAAGACACAAAAGGAGAAGGGAATGGTGGTGGGGAAGGGGAATAAGTCTAGCAGATCTTCTCTCCCTCTAAAGCCTGGACCAAGGCAGATGAACTGGAGAGAAAGCCCTTCTTACAGTGGCTAGGCCTGATGGAGCTGGCCTGCCTTCTCTCCCTCTGGATGATGGTAGATAGAGGGAGGACCTTCTTCTTTTTCAGGCTAGGTTCAATGGAGCTGGCCTGCCCTTCTTTCCCTCTTGATGATGGTGGATGCAGAGAGGGCCTTCTTCTTTTTTGGGCTAGGCCCCATGGAGCTGCCCTGCTCTTCTCTCCCTCTGGATGATGGTGGATAGAGGGAGGGCCTTCTTTTTTTTTTCAGGCTTCTCTCCCTTTGAATAATGGCGGATAGAGGGAAGGCCTTCTTTTTCAGGCTAGGCCCGATGGAGCTGGCCTTCCTTCTCTCCCACTGGATGATGGTGGATTGCTCCCAACAAGCTGGATACTCATTTTAGCAACCTTGGAAAGATGCAAGCAAGAGTCGAGCCTGAGCCCTTGGCTGGTATTGAACCCTCAACCTTATGGCTGCAGTACAGACATTTAACCACTGCACCACCAGGGCTCTTCATGTTCCTTAAGATGCATCCCTGTTGGAGCAGCAGGGTCAGTGGCATATCTAGCATATTTGACCCTTGGTATGGATCATATTTTACTATCCCACAACAAAATTATTTTCAGTAATACTCATGAAATTAATAATGATGTTGCTATGTGCTGAATCATATTTCTTCTGCTGCTGCTGCCTCCCTTCCCTCCACCTCCCTTGCCCAGCAGTGTGTTCCAGGTCTGGAAGGGCTACTGGCTGGATGGGAAAGGGAGGCAGAAGACAAGTAGTAGTTTATGGTTGCCAAGGTTCAGTGGGTGGAGAAGGAGACACTTACCATATTTGTTGACAGTAACTATGAGCAAGTGTTTCCTTTCTCTGACTACTGAGCCACACCTTTGATGTTTGGGGAGCAGTTGTGTCACCCACTTAGGGTATCACCTGGTGTAGCCCACAACACCTAATGATACTCCTGGACTTAACTGCGCTGCAGAATACAATGAATTCAGAGAAAAGGTGGCAGCTGGAGCTGCTAGCTGCCCTTTCTGGTTCCTCCTGTTGTTACCCATCCTCTTGATTTTTCTCTTCCCTGCATAGGATTCCCCAAGATAAGATATGACTGTTTGATATGTAATAGCATCACATAAGTCAGGTGCTCTGCTACTGTTGTAGTTAATCTTCTGGTCCTCATGAGCCAAACCTCAATTCTGTTTTCATAGTCTAAAAAAAAAAAAAAAAATGGTTGGCATCAAGGCTTCTCTCCAAGCAAACATTTTGTATTTATTTTATTTTTTAAATGCTATCCTGGGGTGAGACTCTGAACAATGTAATGTAGCCTGGAGCAAAATGATATGGCTGTGTTAGGACTATCTGAAACTGACAGTATTTTTAGCACTGGTGCCTATTGGCATTAACTTCTGCCACAGCTATGTCTTTGCTGTAATTGGTTTTTAATGCAGAAAGAGGGCCAGTTAACAAAAGTGCTCTCATATTTTCCTTCTCTGCTTCCAGGGATCTTTTAATTCAGAATGCTACCCATTCTGAATCAGAATTCTCAAATGAATTCTCAGTGTCCCTTGCTCAATATTTGCAAACATGGCTTGGGTTTTCCTAATTGGCAGTTCCTTGTAATTGGTCCCACGGTTGTCCATCTGTGATTTCAATTACTGCTTCTTATTTCTGTCTCTACACCACCAGTGTTCTTCTCTATCACTCTTCCATCCTTTGGATTTTATTCCTTCAAAGTGGATTAGTTTACTTGCAGCCTTTATGCTAAAGTTCATACCTAAGGAAAGTGAGAAACATCTAAATAGCTATAAAACAGAGAAGAGGCTTTCCAGAATTACACATGACTGTGTATGCTAGAGTACAGTGATTTTCTAACACCATGTAGGAAACAAGATAATATTTTAAGTAGTCCCAATACAGTCAGTTTGATATACACTTGATAGAATAAAAACAGTCAGGCCCTTGGCCTTCATTTCCCCCCCTCCTGGATCCTTATACCTCCAAAACTTTGAAACTTGAAAATTGGGACAGATGTGGCCAAAAGCTACATCAGAATGTGGTCAAGATGGCAAAACTTATTAATGAGGAGGATGATACCAGCTAGGAGAAGCTGCATCCTTTGATTTTGCCTGGTCCTACCCCCTCCTTTCTTGTCTTCCCTGCTGAGTTAAGTGACTGCAGACTACTTTTTCACTTTGAACTCAGTTTGCAGCAACTGAATGAAGATGATGAAAAAGGAAAGTGGGAAGAGGAGAGAGCAACTGGGACATTTTTAAAGCAGCACTGTTAAGCACCCCCCCCCCCCCCCCCCCCCCACATACCATGCACTGTATTTTGGGGTCTTCATATTTTTAAATCTCATATCTGGAGATAGCATGTTTTTGAGAGTGTGATGATATTTCAGAAACACTTGGTCTTGTTCCCAGGAAAAAGGGATTGCTTCCCCCAAGGTATGTGGACATCCAGGTAAACAAAACCATCAAATCTAAAGTGCTCCTTCCTTCTCCCAAGTAATCTGCATTTTTTCTCAAGATCTGAACTAAAAAAATTATTTTCACCTAAAGCAGTAAGGTAATCCCTCTCTGCCTGCCCCCTGTTGTGTCACCAGCCAAACTTCTCCATCCATCCATCTCAGGGATATCTCAATCAAATCACTGCTTTAGTTACACAAAGGTTAAAACCAATAACCAAGCTGGAAACCCATTATCAATTCCAGAGACAAGTCATTCAGCCTTTGCTACCTGGCTAGATAGCCCACTGCCTAAGGCTAGTTTTAAGGTATAAATATGGTTCAAAACCTAACCTAACCTCTGCACAAGCAGCCCAGCCTATATACACACCTACCCTCTCTGTATGTTCTGTGTCACCCTCAGACCTCTCAGTCTGAGCCATTTCCAGCTTTCCACAGTCTTCTTATCAGACAGGTAATTATAGCCCCACTGTAACCCATAAAAACTCTGCTATTCCCTTTTCATATTTCCATTTTGATTAGCCATACAAAAACATCAGTATGTATGTGTGCGCACACGCACACACACACACACACACACACACATTATTTTTAAAACTATTAATTGCTCCAGTTAAAATCATTTCAAATTCATGAAAATCTATGAAAATGAATCTATGAAAATCTAGCATACCATTAAAAGTTCATTTCAAACCATTTATTCTTGCTTAACAGAATATGAATATTTTTGCTTGTTGTAAAAGGAAACCAGAAAGAGTAAAATGAGGGAGCTGACTTAAATCTCCCTAGAGAGAGAGTTCCAAACTTAGGAGCAGTCACCAAGAAGGAAGGACCTCTCCCATGTCTGCACCAAATGAGCTTGGGGCAGAAGGAAAGGCCTCTCCAAAGGATCTTAGACCTTCAACAGGCTCAGATATCTGAAAATGCAATCTAGAGTTCACTTGAAGTCTAATTCTGGGCTGTACTTTCAGGTTTTCTAGTTCAGTGCTTTTCAAGTTAAAGTGATGTGATTGGTTATCATCCCTGCCCCTACCCCCATGCCAGGGGCTAGTATCACATTTTGTGCAATATTATCGTGTCCCCATAGTTTTCTAGAAACTCATCAGAGACCAGCATTTAATGGCTCACAGACTTCCTCCAGTCTGCATGCCAGCACTTTGAGTAGCATAGCTCTAGATGATTTTTGCTTCTAATCAATGTGTGTATGTATATGCCTTCAAGACATATTGACTTACAGTGACTCCATAAATTTCATAGCATTTTCTTAGGCAAGGAATATTGAGAGGTGGCTTTACCAGTTCCTTTCTCTGAAATATAACCTACAGCACCTAGTATTCATTGGCAGTCTCTCATCCAAGTATAAACCAGGGCTGCCCCTGTTTACCTTTCATAACCACACAGGATCTGGTGCCTTTAGGGTATCAATACACAGGATTCATTTGTTTATTTATTCATTTACTTTTATTGGGTACATTTCTATCCCACATTTCTTCGAATGAGCTCAAGATCGTTTATGGCTGTCCTCCCCATTTTTATCTTCACAACAGCCCGATGAGGTGAATCAGGCTGAAAGTGAACAGCCAGAATCCTGTTCTTAGCTGCAACTAGCATAGGCCCATTTAATCAATTGTTAAATGGTGTGATGTTGAGCTCAGTTGCAGCATTACTAGTAAGCTATAGGTGATACTGTGTCTAGCTTGTAGGAATTACTTAGGCCCCATTCACACTACGAAAACAATCCAGGATGAATCTGGGTTGAATCCTTGTTTTTCACATATGTCCCAAATGCACATGATGCATTTTTTTTGGAGGGGTGGCAATCTCCCCCCAACTTAACCTGAGATATTCGATACTAGTTTTTTTCCTGACTTTTCCTGAAAAATCTGCAACAATCTGCATTGTTGGCAGTGTGAATAAGCTTCCAAATTGATTTGGATTGTATTATATTGTTCAAAGGAAGGAAGGTGGCTCCATTTTATCTGGAAACAATGGCATGTGTGAACAACACAGAGGTCACAATGACCTGAAGAGATTTGCAAACCCAAAACAAAATGGGAACAGCAAACCCAATATGCATCAGTTCAGCAATCCACATTTCCTTGGGACAAAAAAATGAGTGTGAATGCCCCCTTATACTCTTGTTCTAGATTATTTCTTAGTTAAATGATGCTGCTATTCAGTAGGGACATGCTGGTTTGGCTTCCCTCTGAAATGATCTTATAAATGGTGAGACAACATTTGTGTGAATCTCATTGTAGCTGGGGAGTAATAGGATTAACACCAGAGTGTAACCAACCCAAGGTTACCCATAGAGTTTCATGGCTCAGTGGGGACTAGAAGAGGGGATCTTTCAGATTCCAGAACAACAGTCTAACCACTATATTATTCAGCAAGGCAGTGAGTACAGGTCAGCTTTGAATAAGCAAGGACCTTTCTCAACAAGCAAGATGGATGCTAAGATAAACCCTTTACCCTTTACCCTGACCTCACACCTTTACCTTTAAGACCAGCCCTTGTATATTTAATTTCCTTATGGACCTAACTAGTTCTTTGTCAACTTGGTCAATGTAGTATATTTCAGGATTTGGGTTCCCCCCACCTCACCTGTGCTCCCACAATCCAAATGTTAGTTTTCCCACTGTCTTGAATACTTCTACAAAATAAGCATAACAAACTGAGCCCTGTGGTAACAGTCCTGTGGTAACAAATTTCCATGGGAGCCTCTCAGATGCTTAGCAATTTTGAGCTCCTAAGTGCTTATGCCAAAAAGGGTTGTTGAAAGTATATTTAAATGATAAAAAATGCCTTTATGTTTTGTTAAAATGGGGGGGGCGGGGATTGGGCTGTTTTGTGGTGTCTTCTGAAACAAGAGTACAAATCAGTGTAGCAATTTGTGTTCTCTTCCTCACATTGCTTAGCCAAGTCCTCAGCTGGTTTAATTCAGTATTGCATTAGAGTAGTGTTGAAGCCTATGGCATTGTAAATCCAATGCAACCCATCAAAGCAATGCACATTAAATCAGAATGAGAATAACAACCAG